TAACTTACCTTACATAGTTACTCTATACACACACACACACACACACACACACACACATATATATATATATATATATATATGTATATATAGGTGTAGTAAACTTTTGCTAACTGGTTCATAGTATGCAATAAACTTTAAATGTTTAAGTAGTGATCAATATGAAAATATTTTATTATTCCCACAAAATAAATTCTAATAACTGTTTATTTACCTTTGCACAAGCAACCAGTTCAGAAGCAGCTAAGGCACAATGAGTTGCAGAACTGATTACTCTGTTCTGCAAAACTGGATCATCGCATCTGCTGGCCACATTCTTAGCTTTCAAAACTAGTGCTGCAGTTGAGTTTGCCACTCCTTTAGCCAAACTCAACAGAAAATCCTGAGTAATAAAAATATAAAAAAAAGTATTAATAGCTGACAGACAAAAAAATGAAACTCAAAATAAAAAATTCTAATAGTCAAAGTAAGTACATCACATTTTTTATATCCTTTCCCCCCATATCAACCCATTGCAAAAAACAAACTTTTAGGTCACAACTAGCCATACCTGAACCTTTACTTTCCTCACACCTAGGAAAAATGCATTTCACACACATTATATATCTAGTGTACCTAGACATTTTAAGTATAATCAATAACAACAGCTTGTGGTTATTTGCCTCATCCAAGGTCAAGTCTACTTTTCAAAGACCTTGACAGTAAATCTGTATTAATTGTTTTTGTTTTTTAAACATTTTCTATGCCAATTTCAATTTCATTTTCTCTTTACTTTTACAAACTTTATTTTAAGTTTCAGTAACTAAACTCTCATTTTTTTCACTGTTGATATTATGATAGATGTAAATATATAAAAAAAAAGATTGACATTTATTTTTTTCAGATACATTTTCTATGGAAAAACAAATTTTCTACGTGTTAAAATTTTTAAGATAACTGCAGAAAAAAACAGTAAAGCTTTTAAAATACAAATATTTGATCATACATATCTTCTAGATTAAGAAATAAATTTGAACACCAACAGTCTTGTAGTTCCAAGCATGAAACTGTATGAGTACAATCACTTGGAATAAACAAATCAGTTTAGAAAAAACCAAATTAGTTCCTCAAAACATTAATAACATAATTCTCTATTTGAGGTTTGACTTATCAAACCTCAAATGACAGCCATATGGTGATTAGGAAAGACTAATCTGATGGGAATTTATAGTAATCAGGTACAACTAAGCTAATGGCACCAGGTAAAAAGACAGGACTAATCTCATGGCAATGGATGAATATAAGTTATGACTATTACTAATTTTGATATCAACATATAATAATCAGGCACATTTATTTTAGATATTCTTGTAAAGCTACTCAAGGGCTATCTGTGCTAGCCATCCTATTTTTGAGCTCACAGACTAGAAGTAAGGCAACTAATCTACAGCACTCACTGTCACTTGGGCTATTCTAACCAAATAGTAGAATTTGACCATCTCTCTTATAATACACCTACTGCACCATAGTGTGGAATGCAATATTGAGACAACAAGATATGAACTAAGGGCCTTAGGGTCCAGGGCTAAGCATGCTAACACTATACCATGCACAGCCAGAATTAAGTACAATTAAACTGATAGCAACATATGATAATCAGATATGACTAATGTAATTGCACTTTATAGCAACCAGGTTAAGACTAATCTGTGCAAACTAGTGATGATGATGTTGATAGCAACTTGGTGAAAATGTCTGATGGGGGAAAACATTAAGCATATCAAAAGTAAAATGTGAAATATTTTTTATTTATTTTCTACTATCTTAATGTTGAAAAAACAATTACATTATTTTAAACTTACTCAATACTAGCCACATTATAAAGAAACCAAGTGTAATCTAAAAAAAACGTTTCTTGAAACATTAAGAAAAATATTCTTTCTAACTGAATTTTACCTGTACATCCTTATTAACACCATCTTCTTCACCAATGGTATACAGGACACCATGGCTAGCTTCTCCAACTCGTGTGGCAGCTTGGATTAAGTTCTGACGAGGCTAAAAATAATTTTGAGACTTTGACTTATTTTAATAATTACAACTAGCATACTTTTCCTGTTTTAACATGGTTACAATTTCCTGTTTACTATACACATCATTTTGTCATCTATAATGTACATTTTTAGCTCACTCATAAAAATATTTTTTGAAGTAAACTTACATAAACTTGATATACCTGTAAGTAATGCAATGGGCATTTTCGTTTTTTCTACTTAAACATAAAGCCATTTAGTGGAACACCTTAATAAAATTGCAGGGCTGAACCTTCAACAATACAAAGGGTGAGAAGATAAACAAAACTAAAAGTAACACAACAAAACTTTCTTCATAAATAAACTGTATTTACATGAACACTGAATCAAGCTGATATTACAAATTTCCCAGCATCCACCACCAAATTCCAGGAAGAATGTAACTATACTTAATTGAAATATGAAATTTTGACAAAAGATTATTAGAAGACATTTTTCTCAATATGGCCATAACTACTACTGATTATCAAGCAAGTAACCTTTGTCTACAAGTGTGAAAGCAGAAGCCTAACTTGTAGTCAAATTTTCATGTTTATTTGTTTTTGAATTTTGCGCAAAGCTGCACGAGGGCTATCTGCGCTAGCCATCCCTAATTTAGCAGTGTAAGACTAGAGGGAAGGCAGCTATTCATCACCAACCACTGCCAAATCTTGGGCAACTCTTTTACCAATGAATCGTGGGATTGACTGTAACATTATAACGCCCCCACGGCTGAAAGGGCGAGCATGTTTGGTGGGACGGGGATTCGAACCCACGACCCACAGATTGCGAGTCAAGCACCCTAACCGCCTGGCCATGAAGGGCCTTTTTCATGTTTAACCAACTATACTAGAATTGGCATAAAAACTTATACATTGAAGCCTTCAAAGTAACGTCATCTGATGGTAGAAAGTATATATAGTATATTAAACTATCTATAAAATTGTCAAACCTCTGTACTATCAGGTTCAGCAGCTTTCAGTAAGTCAAAAAAGGCCAAGCAAAGGCCTCGGGCAGCATCAAGTAGCTTGTTTCCTTCAGCTTCATCCATTAGTGCAGCTATCATTTTTATATCTTTAGACATCTCTGGGAGGTTGGTAGTACTAGAGTATGAAAAAAATCAAATATATATACACACACATACACATGTACAAATAAAAATACATATATATACATATATAATTACTTGCATGTGTACTATTTCTTAATTATTAGTCATAAAATGAAATTTTATAATTACCTTTGACCCAAATCCTGGATAGATATAATTTTTTTTAGTCATAATGAGTCTTACATAAACTCATTTTTATTTGCTCTGAAGACATTTTAAAGTTTCTGTATATTAAATCAAGATTTCAAGTTGTTGTTGTTTTTTTGGGATTAAATAGTTAATATATTTTAGTTATTTTTCTGGGGATAGTAAGTTTTGCTTTTATTTATGATTTACAAACCGAGTTAATTTACAGTGACATTGTCTGTACATTTCTACTTTAAATAGTTGTATTTACAAACACAAAACAGCAATGCATTCATATAGGTGCAATATTCAGTACAGAAAAGTTTTAATATTTCATATTTTGGGAAGGCTACTACGGCTACCTGCCATCATCCCTAATTTTGAATTACTAACCATAGAGAAGTTAACCAATCAGTAGCACACCTACCACCCACACTATGAGATTGACTGTCACTCTTATAATGCACATATAGGTTAAAGTGAAGGGAATATTTTGTGGTATCAAAACCATACACCTACAACAGGGATAACCCACACCTTTTAAAGAAAAGAGGCCAGAATCTATCAATTAATATTTTTTATTGCTGAAGGTGAAGATAATTAATCAACAGGAAAGCAGAATTAAAATATACAGCTGTTAGGTGGTGAAACACACTAGAAGCATATAATATGAAAATCTTACCATGATAGATCATGTTATATGTTATTACTGTAATAACATGTCAGTGAAGACACCTGTGATTCTGACATACAAGGATACTTTTGGTTCACAAATGAGGCTGATGTTTTCAAACTTGTACATTTGTAATAGTTCCTTTCACTACCCTTTCAAGCCGTCTCCAAACTTTATGAGCCTGATGTTGCTTTGTACATATTAATCAGATTTTTATGCATAAATATCAACCCTTATATGCAATACACCTGGATTTTTATATCATATACCAGTCTTTTATTGAATATATTGCTATTGACTGAAAATATGTTCTCTTGTTATTGCATGTGTCATATCAAAGATTATCATATAGTATCAGAGTTAATAATCAAATAAGACAAAGAGAGTCTTAATGTTTTAACTATTCTCCCATGTCATGATTTCATGTAGTTGACCTTGCATAAACCTTATTTTAAATCTATTTAACATCCAATATGCAAAAGAATGAATTAGAACATGGGGGATTTGGTGGGTTACAGAGGGTTGTCATAACTTCTGGCACTCAAGTTAGAACCAAAAAATAAGTATTCTGACAAAGGACTGTTAACTTAAAACATACTTTACTGCCAAAAGGACTCACTTTTTAATAGTATTCGGTCATGGGAAGATGCAAAGTTTAGGGGTACTAGAAGAGTTCATGTTGGTGTTTTATGGTTTGTCAAATAAAAAGTATTAATGAATATTAGATCTTGATTGGTTTAAAACCATTGATAGGTCTATATTCCCTCATGTTCCATGCTGGTGATGCTGACCTGGTGCTATTGCTATTACTTCTGCTACTCACGCTGTTCTACCACAATACTGCTTTCTCATTCTTCACACACCAGACTAGCTTCTGCAGCCGATTTTAAGAGTGTTTGTCTGTGATTTCAAGCAGGAACCATCACAGCAAAAACAATGACGACGGGACATGCTACAGTACTGTTTTTGTAACACATTGATGGTGTATGCATTGTCGCAAAATGGAACTGCAAAACTCAGTAATATCAAAACATATTGTAAAACACTAAGAATTCCTCATCAAATAATAATCAACATGCAATCTTCTCGGGTAGCCACAGTAGTTTTTCTCTAACTCGTTAGCAAAATGCTTTAGCTGACTTATCTTTGAATTGACCTGCTGGTCAGATGGAAACCCTTCATCTTATTGCTCTTCCCTTAACCTCTTTTTGAATACCATACGTGCATCAGCAGGCTTCATTGTCACAGCAAACCGAAGAAACTCTATAGAAATGCAACATGGATTGATGTGAATATGTAACTCCTCAAGGAACTCGGGACTACATCAGCCACATTTTTCAGTCATGTGATATCTGTGTGAATTTCACTCTCCCGACATAGATTATATCTCCCTGAATATTTTTTTTACAAGATATTCCAGCAATTGACCTGCTTTTCTTGTGAGATGAGTTATGCTGACCATGTTCAAAGAACTATTTGATATTCTCTCGAAAACTGTGGAGAAAACAGCTTTATAGAGCTGAGGAACCAGATCTTGTATTGCACATGTGCAGCTACTGCTGTTTCTGGTGGGATTTTTGATGGGGGTATATGATTTACACCCTCATAGCTTAGAAACTAGTATGAATTCAGCTATACTGATGGGAAATTCACATTTCAATCACTACAAGAAGTTCAAATCTATACTTAGAAAGAGAGAGAGTACCAGAAAGCTTTGTTTGAGAATCCACCCACATAAAATGTTCCCCTGACTTGCAGACTGGGTGTTAATATAATTTACACAAAAAAGACGTGATTAAACTTTTTTTCTTAAAGTCTTAAGTTTTTGTTATCCTGTCTTCTTATTTTAGGATATATATAAAACAACAAAATACATTTCTGTGTAGCTTGATGAAGCCCACAACACAAAGAATGAAAAGTCATCCACTCCAAATATGTGCATCTCTCAAGAATTCCAAATCCAGTACAGTTCACTGGGTATAAAATTCCTCTAAAACAGGATCATGTGTAATATCATGATAATCAGATTGGAAAAATCACCACCTTATAAAACAAGTTGACTTCAATAACATTTGGACACTTATACTGTACAACCATCCATCACAAAGAAGACATCAAGCTGGAGCTTTCAGACTGTTCTCACTTTGCAGAAACAACAGAGCCTGCTGATGATGTCCACACATCAAACTTGAACTGAAGCGCAATGTTACAAACTCCAAATTAATATGGTTTTATATATATATATATGACCTTAGTTGTAGTTGAGAGTAGACTAGTGGATTTTAGAGAAAAACGTTTCTTTTATCTTTATTTTCAAATGTTATTCAGTGCTAAGGATTTGTTGTTGATGACACTGGTGATATGTCAGTGTAATACTTATGCTTATCTATTTTTTGTTGGTCCCAACCAACGATACAATCAATGTAAAACTTATGGTTGTCTATTTGTTGTTGGTCTCAAATGATGATATAATCAGTGTAATATTTGCACATCTATTTGTTGTTGGTCCCAACTGATGATATAATGAGTGTAATATTTGCACATCTATTTGTTGTTGGTCCCAACTGATGATATAATGAGTGTAATATTTGCACATCTATTTGTTGTTGGTCCCAACTGATGATATAAGGAGTGTAATATTTGCATATTTATTTGTTGTTGGTCCCTACTGATGATATAATGAGTGTAATATTTGCACATCTATTTGTTGTTGGTCCCAACTGATGATATAAGGAGTGTAATATTTGCATATTTATTTGTTGTTGGTCCCAACTGATGATATAATGAGTGTAATATTTGCACATCTATTTGTTGTTGGTCCCAACTGATGATATAAGGGGTGTAATATTTATACTTATCTAGTCCACCTTCAAGTGAGACCACGATCTTGACTTCAATGAAATTTGAATGCTTTTATGATACACGATCATACACAAGACATCATAAACTGGAGCCCCTAGACTGATCTTTCACTCTCCACAAGCAAAACAACCGCACTAATAACATCCTGTATGTATATATATATATATATCTCAGACTTGACCACACAGAACATTTTAGAATAACTGTGTTATAAACCCTAGAATGTATATCTAAACCAACAATACAGTTTCTTCAGTAGTCTGGTAAAGGTCTTGGCACAGAAATGAAAATATCATATACTCCTGTAATACAGGCAATTTTTTCAACATAGTTAAAAGAATATGGTGAATATGTTTTTAAATTAATGGATAAAGTGAAATGATAAAAATATTTTACTCTATTCCATCATGACCTGTTAGTATGCTGATGACTGGGTAACAAAGAGATATATAATCTTAAATCTTACATGATGTTGATAGCTGCATTCACTCCAGGATGGTCAACATCATCTGGAGAACCTAAAGATTAAATGGTAAAATTGTAGAAAGAAGAGTTTGTAAAAACAATTAAACTTCAGGTAATAAATAAACACATTGTTCATACCATTTCTTACAGAAACTAATTATTTCATTACATACACTTCTGGTAATAAATAAACACATTGTTCATACCATTCCTTACAGCAACCAATTATTTCATTACATACACTCCGGTAATAAATAAACACATTGTTCATACCATTCCTTACAGAAACCAATTATTTCATTACATACACTTCTGGTAATAAATAAACACATTGTTCATACCATTCCTTACAGAAACCAATTATTTCATTACATACACTTCTGGTAATAAATAAACACATTGATCATACCATTTCTTACAGAAACCAATTATTTCATTACAAACACTTCTGGTAATAAATAAACACATTGTTCATACCATTCCTTACAGAAACCAATTATTTCAAACCACTGCAATAAATCTGAAAGTAATAAGGTTTGAAGAATTCTCAACTATTTAAATGTTATAAAAAAGTGTAAATTATTAAAAATTAAATTAAACATTCCTACAGAAAGATTTTTTTTATATCTAGAAACCATTTGATTTTAATACATAGTATTGTTTATTTTTTACTTTTAAAGAAAAACAATCTTTTAAACCCAATATTTAGCATTTGTAAGTGCAAATTTTACTTAAGGAAAGATCAACAATAACATAACAGTAAAAAGTTTCACTCACCAGATGTCAGTGTAACCACCTGTGCTGTAGCAGCATTCATTGCTCCAAGATGAGAAGACACACTTTGTTTCTTAACATCAAGTGTGTTCTGTTGCCACTGCAATGAAGCAGGATCTGTTCCCATTTCAGGAAGATCTGCTTTTTCTTGCAGTTCCTTCTGTGCTGAATCTATGGCATCTCGTCCAGTATCGATCGTGCTAAGTAGAGCTTTTTGAGGTTCTGTCAGCTTACTGTGAACTTTTGGATGCTGTGGCTAGAAAATGAGCAACAATATTGAATTGAAATATACCACAGGCTATAAACATTTCTCCAAAACAACCCAATTTAAACTTCTAACTTTAAGGTATTTTGAAACAATCTATGCACATTATATTTTTTCACCATATAAAAAATTTTTAGAAGGTTGATACTGAGCTTTTATGGAATGTCAAAATGTTACTAATGTTAACTTTGTAAGTTTTTCGTTATACTTCATTATCTTTGCACACATACACAAAAAAAGATTTTCTAGTAGTTAATAAACATGAAGTAAAAACGATTTATTATTAAAAGTCTGAACTGATCAGTCTGAAAATTATTTTGGATAGAAAGAAATCATCTTTTAAGCCTATAAAAATTTTAGATACGATAAGATCGGCCAAAATGTGAAAGTAAGATGCAAACTGTAATTTAGATTTTTTATTTATAATGATTTAAAAAGATCACTACTGTTCAGTCAAAGCTGTTGAAACAAATTTTGTGATTACTTGAAGCTACGGCTAATTTTTTTCTGGGTGAATATACTCTAGTCTCTTTTTGATTTCAAAAAGTACGATATAAAATGAACAAGCTAACTACTTCTTTTATAAGTTGATAATTTTCTCCTTTAAACAAAAACATCTGTTAAATGAAGATTTTATCAGTATTAGGAAAATATGCACATGATTGCAACTATCTTATATTACTAAACGCATATATATGATTAGGTTCTACATTTTGAAAAATGGGTAAACAATATTTATTGTCATTACATACACAAACAACTATAAATACTCTTTTCATACTGTCTTTTAACAGTTATGCCAGTAATGATTGCTTTTTTTTCAGCAATGTCAAAACTACCAGGGTTATTAATACTGAAAGCAGTAACTAGGTGTCAAATATATTTCATTCAACCGATCAATCATATAGAAAAACTTTCAACTTACTGTGGTAGGAGAGTGGGCACTGTGGACTTGTCCTTTTACTTCTCCATATTGAGCACCTTGCATGTGGCCTGTGTTATAGCTTTGAGCTCCTATAAGTTATGTTGAAAAAATTTAAAACAATTCAACTACATCATTTTCAGTAATATTTTATTTGAAGATCAATAAACAAGTTTTAGATAATTTTACTCTTTTGTTATAAACAATTACGAAATTACAATGTGTAAGCAAATACTTGGTAAGTATGCAACACACACACACACACCAATAATAATATTAATTAAAGGACAATCAATTGTATTTAGATCAGGCATGAATGTCTTCCTTATAGCTTGTGAAGTACTTCGGCAAGTGCCTGAATTAGAAAGCAGAACATTTAGAATTGGCACTCGTACAAGATGTTAGATGGGGCCTGGCTTGGTACTTAAATTAACATGTTTCACTGTAAACCTGTAACTGAGCTTTTCTCTTATAAATACTCAAATTACTTATCCATACTGTGTTTCATATGGGATGTCTATACTGTTGATGCTAAATAACATGATAAAAATACATATTTTGTACTTTTTAACCCTTTCCAGATGGGTCACAGGTCAAAGGCCATGTCATTGAGTTTGTTGACTCACACTCAAAATTTTATTGAACTACTATTTCATGAATTTAAGTCAACAAGTTTGGTATCAAACTGTAGATTATAATTCAAATTTTAGTATTATACATTATTCAATTTCTTAATTTAAAAGTAAATATATAAAAAATACAGTTAAACACGTGGTATGTTGAATGCAGCGCTGGTTCAAATTAAATGTCTGTGATGTCAAAATACTAAGTCCATAGTTTCGTATGAATTAGGAACTCAAATTACCGATATTGACAAGCTAGAATATAAAATAAGAACATATTATATATTTACTATTTGCTAAGATATCGTTCATGTACTAAATTAAACATAGTGAACCCTACCCCCTCTTTCCCTTTTTGGAAATGCTCCCTTATATACACTTACTTCTATATGTAACATGAATAACCAATCAAAAACTTAGAATGTCCCCCTAGTGGCTTTCTCAGCCCTTTTAAATTCTTAAGACGTCATCTCGTTCTTTCGACCCAGAAATTTCAAGGAGGTAGGTTGTATCTTCAGTCTGTTCGAAATTTCATCTTTCTTACGACCGAAATACAGTTTAGTTACTAAGCTTGATAAATTATAGTGGAATTCTATGGTATTCATACAGTAGTTTATGACTTTTTGGATATTCAACTGTATATATATATATATATAAACTCTAAAAAAACATTGCTTTACAAACCTTAAGACTTAATAAAAAAATGGTATTTAGCATATGAAAGCATTGTAATGTTTATTGATAATCTGCCAAATTTCATTAACAAATGCTTACTAATTTGAAAGTTATAGAATGAAAACTATAATAAGCAAAAAATGGTTACGAGGTCGGACCCAGAAACTGAGCCAGTGCTGAAAGAGTTAATCAGCCACTCATATACACACACAAAAATAAAGGTTATCCGGTCCTATGATATATACGTATAGATAGCAAACCTGGTTCCTTCTCACATGAAATACAAGTTTTTAATAATTTTTTTTGTACTTACCATCTGCGGCACTTCTCATAACACCAGGAACTGCTAGTGATGCAGAATTTACATGAGATAACTTTGCTCCTGGAGTGTGCTGCATAATTGTGGCTCTAATCAAAGACAAAAAAAAGTCATCCTTATACAATTGGTAATTATCTAGTGATAAAGATATCAATAATTGAGTTACAAGGCTACAGGCATAAGCATTTAAATGCTTATAGAAGACAGGCCTGAATGAATCATGGGCAATTATATAAAAGTCCTGTATAAGAATATGCTTATTCATCTGACTTACAGGGAAGGTAATAAGTAAAACCTTGATGTGAATGAGAGATAATGGCTTAGCTATACATAAATTTTTACTCTAATGGTACTGACAATGTTAAAAAGTAATGAAACCTTATCTACAGTGAGGTTATTCCCAGTGTTTTCAATTAATTTCCAAGAGCTGTAAAATTATTTACTGTTACAATTTTATTTAATAAAATATTATCATCATCACTCAAACCTAATCAGAAGTTGTTGTGAAAAGTAACAAGCAAATTAGGCATTTCTACTATTTAAACATCAGATAAAACCAATTCACTTCTAACTAACAATGTTATATTAAATTTCAGAATATTTATCCATAGTACTGCACTAAAAAAAAAACCTACACACAAAGATAAGTAGTAAATTGAAGTCAGTATCTAAAATGCAAAAATCTTGAAACCAAAACAAAATACTCTCTCAGCTACACACACAAATCACAGTATCTGCTGTATATGGTGTTTTTTTTAATCGAAACAAAAACAAAATTTAGTTTTATAAAATAAAAACTTTATAGTAAAGTTTTACAAGAGTGTAGTAAGACTTAAAAATAAGTGATTAAACTCTACAAAATATGTAAGCATTTTCACATATTAAAATATGTGAATTCATACAAATATAAAATTATTTTATTTGCAAAAATTACACAAGCTGTAAAAAGTTCATCTCGAGTTTGAAACTATCTCATCCAGTAGTTTGTTTTTGCAAAACAATAAAAAAAACATACAACAGATGTGTTGAACCTACACATCGAGGTGTGAAAAAATTAAAGTAAAAAGACCAAAGTTCCAAATAATGATAAGAATCAATTTCTTTTATTGACACTGTGAGTAAACTGCATTTTATAACAAATTTTAAGTATGTAAGTATACCAATTTTCAAATGTCTAACCTCAATCGCTCATCTGACATACAATACAATTCTTAGATGTTAGAATAAAATCTTGAAAACAAATACTCTATTTATATCGTAAAGTGAGAATATTTTTATTCAAGGTATATTTTCCCCATTTGAGAAATATATAAAACTAAAATTTTTACTATCCAATACTAACCTTGACCTTTCCTGCTTTTAGCATGCAGATAAAATAAGTTTTTTAATATAACATAGAAAGCAAAATATTTCAATATTTTCTATTATATTACATAGACTAAGGCAATAACTAAATCAACTACATTACAATATTGATAAGAATACACAACATACGTGTTCATTTCTTGCTTGGTTACTCTGCAGTAACATTATATTTTATGTATTTTTCATGTATACTTTTGGTCTGAATTACAAATGAAGTTCCAGTTTGTTAAACTTTAGACTACACTATAATATTTTAGTTTTGCCAATCTATTACAAAACCTGCATTTTTAATTAAAAGGACTTTCAAGTCAAAGGCTGTACAAATGACTATTTAATAAACTGCAGAGTACACTTTATTTTTTACTGATGTCTTTTCTAGTTTTGAATTAATTGAAATGATACAGTAAAATGTTTTTGTATGTTAATAAATTAACTTGGAGAGTGAATATTGAGCATAACTCAATAAAATATTCAATATCTAGCCTGCATTATATGTATAGTAAAATGTTTTTGTATGTTAATAAATTAACTTGGAGAGTGAATATTGAGCATCAAAACATCATATTAACATTTGTTTTTATTTCAACAGATACTACAACTCATTAATTGTGTTACTTAATGCAAGTAATAATGATATCAATACTACACAAAAATGTTGGTATCAATAAATTAGAGCAAAATTCTTTTTCAAAGTACCAAAACTCAACAAGCTGTGTACTTTTCATCTATTGGCAAAGTTCTGAAACTGACTTTTATATTTATTTCTTTGAATGTTTTATTCTAGTTACTTTTTGTTTGTTTATAACTGCAATACAAATCAATACAAATGCACCATTTCTATTACGAAGGAATTACATGGGTTGAAAAGAATGTGTAAAACAAAAAAAGAAGCTGATATCATCAGAGCAAGATTATTAAAGAATAAATTTTCATGATCAACTTTGAGCCTCCACCTAGTGGTTTGACTACAGCAAGTTATCTCATTATATTTAAATGCAATATCAATCACTGAAAATTCAGTCATTGTAATATTCAATTACTCAAACAAAAATGATTTTCAAAGCCACTTACTTTGCTGGTGATACACTATCTTCTACCATAGTGGAGCCTTCGTTGCCTTCTATTCCAAAATGGTCCTTAGATTTTTGCTAGAGATGGAATAAAAGTACATTTCATAAGTGAAATTATAATTTTATCACATTATATCCATTCAGCTTAGATTTATCTTTTAACAACCAAAAATAGGTGGTATGAGTATAAATGATTACGGCTGTGATGAAATTAGAAAATTTATTTACATACAGTTCTTTTAACTTGGATAAACTTTATTTGATTGTATAAGAAAACAAATTATGTAAAAATATATATATATATAATAAAATTTTGGAATTCTCTGACAAAGTGAAAAGGAAAGAAGACAGGATTAAAATCAGTATCCTTACCCATAGTATAATTACCCACCAATCAAGCTAGCTGACTTTTAATTGTACCAACGTCATAAAAATCATCAAATACTGAAATTTTAGGTAACTATGTATGCAATAGAATTTTTTTTAGAAAACAATTGGCCATGAGCAATAAATACACAGCAGTAAAAATGTATCTCAGAATCTGAAATATGTAAAAGTAAAAGAATTCAACATTTTAAGTGTAATAAATTTAATTCATACGAGAAAACTAAGATTGGTTTGTTTCTTTTAAATATTTGCACAATGCTCCACAAGATGCAATCTGCACTAATCATCTCTAACTTTGAACTGACAGACTACAGGGAAGTTAACTAGCCAAAACACCCAATACTTGCTCTTGGGCTATTCTTATTAAATACTGAGTGATTCAAGCATCACTCTTATAATGTGCTCATGGCCTCAAATTGTGGAGTATGATTTTGTGGCAAAGGGGTGGGAACCGTGGACCCTCACATTCATAAGTCAGCACACTAACCATTTGGCCAAGCCTAGTCCAACTCTGTAAGAAAACTCACCTTTTTTAAAATAATATCTATATAACCTGCAATGAGTTGAGAGATATGCTCGCCCTCTGTTGTCTGAACAGAATAGTAAGAATCAGAGTAGTCACCAAAGTCCTATTGAGAAAGAACAGAGAAGTTTTGTTATTCACATTAAAATAACACATGTACTATTAAACAAGTAAAAACATACTAGATGTACAATTTTAAAGTTTATGCAGTGCTTAAATTTTTACTAATAAAAATTACCTCTACAGAACTGCAACAAAAATCTGTAAGGTTGGCTATGTGTTACACTTAGCACACACAGTAAATACATCTCAGAAATAAACTTGTCACATATTGTGACATTGGTAGTTAAATTGTATGTAAAGTAAATGTTTTTAACTAGGTATCACTAAAACTTTACTTTTGGTGAGTCGTGCAAATAAATGTCAGATCGATTTTAATTATAATTAAGAAAACATTTCTACTCTTTGTTTTTCTTTAGCATTTGTACACGATACTTTTATTTAAAAATTTTTAATTTAATTTATAGAAAGCTGTGAATAGCCCCGTTGATGTAAATATGCAAAAAGCTCAAATTAAAATCACTAAAAACAAGCTGTCAAAGAAAACTAAAATAATTATGAGCCCCTCGAGATATAGTTGAAACACACAAAGATATTAAACCTCATTTCTAATATAGAGTATTATAATTAATACTTAAATTCTATGCATACATCATTGTGTACATATGTAAACTTCCATTATGTTCATAGGAAACCTTATGACCAGTAGAACAACACCAGACACAACTGGTGCCAAGAGCTTTAGCCTAATAAATTGTAACAAACTTTTCAATGTCAAGATTTTCCTTTACAGTTTGAAATTTTTGTGAAGAGAAATCCCAAACCTGCAAATTTTCTCCCAAAACAGATGCTTTAACCACTGAAACTAAAGAGATTTACAAATTCCATAAAAATCAGTTCTTGCTTCAGTGAATGAAGGAATCGTCAATAGATTATTTAAATTTGTTGATGACATTAAAGTTTTGGGTGTTACTGGCTGTAAAGAGGATGCTACTGCTTTAAAAAAGGATTTGGCTTATTTGGTGAGTTGTGCAAATAAATGTCAGATGGATTTTAATTATAATAAATGCAAAATAATGCATATGAGATATCACAATTTGAATTACGAGTATAGTTTTGATGGGAGTAACCTAAAAAATGTTAGAAAAGAAAAAATATTATCTTGGTGTTCTAGTTCATCAGTTTCTTTAGTCATCCATACAATTTACTGTTGCTAGTGGCAGAACAAATAGGATTTTAGGTTGTATCTAGAGGCATGTTGAATACAAGTCTAAAAATTTACAACATCAATGAAGGGGTCACTGGTTAGGCCACACTTGGAGTACTGTTATCAGTCTTGGGCTCCTTTCCTCAAAAAAAGAGGATAGGGCTGCTAGGATGATACCTGGGATGGAGATTATCATATGAGGATAGGTTAAGTTCTCTGAACTTATTTTCTCTTGAAAATAGAAGAGTTAGAGGGAATCTGATTGAAGTGTTTAAGATTGTTAAGAAAATTGACAGTGTTGATGCATCATCTTTTTTTCATATTTAATGGTAAGAATGGCAAGAATAGTAAACACAAATATAATTTTTGGCAGGAAAGAAGTCATCATCAGCTAAGACAGTTTACGTTTCTAACAGGATGCCTTCAGATGCAGTTAATTTATGGAAGTTTAAGGGAAAGCTTGATAAATATTTGAATGATAAGAGCTGACTTTTTAGTTTTTTTTTTAAAGGATTTACTTTAACTTAATGGATAGGATAGCCTAGAAGAACCAAAAGGTCCTTCCTGTCCTTTATTGTTAATTATAGATAGTAATGATAGAATTACAGAAAAGTTCATCGGTAACAACTACAGTACCCTATAAATGCCACCACTTTTGAAAACTGAATTTTACTAAAATATTTTTTTAAACAAAAACAGGTCAGTTAAAGGCATACATTTATGGTGTTAGCAAGTCATTGGTTCTTATACGGACATATACAGACAAATAAATACACAGCTAAGTTAATCTGAAATAACAATAACCAAACATACTACCAAGACTTACCAAGGTAAAACTATTTGGTGATGCTGCCCACCTTCTAACTGTGGTTAATGGCCACGTCTTTAATATCTAGAAAAAAAAAGGAACAATGCATTTTACAGATTCTCTGATTCCAAGAAATTATGGAAAAATAAATATTTAAATAAAAAAAAATAGTTCAGAATATCCTACTTCATATTTCAAACTCTTAACTTGGAACACAGTGACAATAAGAATTTTCAACATATAATTCACACCCATCAATCTGAGGTGACTTGTATCTTTCTTTACTTAAACATTTAATATTAATTATCTTTCTTTATGCACAGCATTGTTGGGTCATAGTTTTATTTTCTGAACTTGTTACTTTACACTTCATCCTACCTCCTTAGTTTTTTCATCTAATCTTAAAACACTGTCCTTTGTTACTCCAAGCAAACGAGGAGTCAACTTGTTCTTGCCTTTCATTTTTTCCTGAAAAAGATTGACAAAATAACTTAACAGGTAAAGCATGAAAACAATTTGGTTTTTACCACTTAACTAAAAAATAAAAACAATAAGAATAAAAATGTATTGACTTAACAATCAACTAAAACATCTTTAACCATTTTACACCTATTATCTAACATCAGCATCAATACTGTGATTATTAAAGGTTACATACTGATTTTTTTTTATAAATTATCAATGGGACAATCTTGATGGACCAACACAACTCTTGCTGTCCCATAAATGTTATGTTATTTACATGACATTGAAATTTATCATTAAAAATAATAACTTGAAAACTTATAGCTCTATAAACATAAACAATGCTTTAAAATCTTAAACATTCTGTATTAACTATTTCTTACATATACATGATGGAAAAATACCTGTACTTGAACATAGCTCAGTAATCCTATAGATAAAATTTTCAGAGATAAAATTGTAATAGGCATATTTCTTTCAGTTTCCATTTCAAGGCTTATGTTAAGACAAGCAGCTATGTTGTACCAACCCTTCTTTTATTAAAGTAAACCTTCATTACTGGAAATATGACTTAACGTCAGCACCAACATTGTGATTATTAAAGATCACATATTGTTCAATGTGGTTTATTATTTCACAGAAATGACTTTAAACCTTCATTATTGGAACTATGACTTAATGGCAGCACCAACATTGTGATTATTAAAGATCACATATTGTTTAATGGGGTCTAAAAACATTTTTCAGCATTCAATAT